AATGCTTGAGGGCAAGAGCTCAATTCTTCAGGGTGCTGTGGAGGGGGCTGCGGTCCCACCTGGCACAGCTTCTCATCAAAAATCAGCCCAGATCCCATCCCCTCTCAATGAAAAGAACTGCTCCTGTGAGAGAGGAGGAAATGGGGGGAAAAAAATCCCCAACCAAGCAATGCTTGAGGGCAAGAGCTCAATTCTTCAGGGTGCTGTGGAGGGGGCTGGAGGCAGCACCCTGCCCGCGCTCATGGGTGCTCACGTAGCGTGTGCCACCCGGTGTGTCCCTTCCGCAACCGCTCTCCTGATTACATTTAATTAATTAGCAGCAGGTTGAGATTCTGGAATGAGAATTGTGCCGGTGGAGGAACACAAAACAGCGTGTTCTCTTGGCGTTGGAGCTCCTCTAATGGTACCCGCGACTACGTTTGCCAAGGTAACGGGGGGCGATGACTCAGAAGATGCGCAGGCAGCAGCTGCCAGCACAGCACCAGCTCCACGGAGGCCGAGCCCTCGGATTTGGCACTCCCAAGCACGGACCTTCTGTCCCTGCAGTGCCTTTCCATCAGAAAGATGCAGAAAAGGGTGAGGAGTCCCTGGGGATGTGGTGCCAAGAGGTGATGAGGTGATTTTCCCACTTCAGCCCTTTCTTGCCGCGTTATTTCCTCCCCTTGTGAGATGATGCACTGGGATGTCTTCTCCTTTCTGCTCCTTCACCGTGGCACTCTGGAAATCTGAACCTAAGTAATGCATTCTTGGGGTATTGTTCTTTTTATTTACCCTGACCTGTACATCAGGAATGTGTCTATCCCACTTCAGCCCTTTCTTGCCGCGTTATTTCCTCCCTTGTGAGATGATGCACTGGGATGTCTTCTCCTTTCTGCTCCTTCACCGTGGCACTCTGGAAATCTGAACCTAAGTAATGCATTCTTGGGGTATTGTTCTTTTTATTTACCCTGACCTGTACATCAGGAATGTGTCTATAGCTTTAAGTAGAGTTTGTAAACATATGGAGCTTTGAGACTCTCTGCTTTTTGGCCCTGGTTTTGTGACTTGGCAGTCTTGTGCTTAGTTTAAAAAATGTGGTCAGTCCTATCACCCTCTCGGGAGCTGCTCAGATACCTGAAGTTAAGGAGCTTTGTGTTGTCCAGGTATCTACAGCTTTCATTTCAAGGTAAAATAATTTCCTCCTTTTCAGTTTCATGGGTTTCAGAGACTGATCTAATCTTTGGTTCCTGGTGCACCCTTAGTTTGGTTAATTCCTGCTAGTACTGTTCGTGTCCCTATGAAAGCTAAAAGGAGGATAAAACTAAACAGTTGAAAACATCAGAAAAAGGTCCGGGGATACTTAAAAACCCTCACCGCATTTTATGATTCTAGTCTCCCTCAAGTCCTTTCCACTATTTTTAATGATTTTTTTTTTTCCTCTTTATTTGCTATCTTTGCTTGTGTTATCTCCCTGACAGGCTCACAAAAGAAACCCAAGAAACCAGCCAGCCAAGCAGATAAGGAAACAGATGTTGTAAAGCACAAAGGTCAAACAAATACAGACAGCTCAGGAAAAAGGCTTTGCAAAGCGGTGAGAAGCTGAATAGGTGAAAAGGAAGGGGTTTTTTTGGAATGGGATTACAAAAGGGAAACCCTTTTCTGGGGAGGAAAAAAAAAAAAAACACCTCAGCCTCCAAAGAATCTCTCAATAAAAGGCAATAAAAGAGAAGGAATAATAACTTGTGTTTTGGGAAATGTGAAGCCCTGCTGGGTCTGTGGAGCGCGGGAGCACAGGCAGCCTCTGCAGCCCTGAAAAACTCTGCCGTGAGCCTTTTGGTCTCTGATTTTCTCATGGTTTTATGGCCTCTGCCGCATGAGGAATAATATGGAAGTGCTCCAGCTTAGGAAAGCATTTAACAAAGCAGGGCAAGTAGGACTTACATGTTCCAGTGTAGCTGGCTGCTGATCTGGGCTTCTTGTTTTACTCCTCATTCTGAGTTATTTACCTTATTTCTGGCTAATTAGGAAGAAGACAAATCTTTAATGAAAAAGCAGTTAATTTCAGCCTCGTTAGCCTGGATCTGTATTTCAGTCTTCCTTGTCTCCCAGGCAGAGATGGAACTTGCACTTATTTCATTAAAAATGCAGAATGCCACCAGGTGGTCGCTCTCGGGTACAGGCAGTGACTTATGCTACAGGGTTTGTCAGGGATGGCCATGAAAGTGTGACCCAGATCCATCCTAATGACTCCATCAGCCCAACCTGGGACTGGTGACAAGGGGCATCTTTAAGTGCCTGGGTCTCTGTGTCCTCCTTGTGGCTTGGCCACCCACCCTGGCGATGCTGGTCCCTCTTTGCCATGCAGAGCTTTCCCCCCTTTCCTGCAGTGTGGAGAGGGATACAGAGCTGGTCTACGGGTCTCCTGGTCTCATGATTCCCACATCATTTCATCGTGGTGATAATAATTAACCAACAATACAGCTCTTGGACCTCAATTATTGAGCTACAGTTGCATTCTGAAACGGCAAAGTGCACCCATGCCAAAGGAAGAGTAACCTCGCAGAGGTAAAATGCAAAGGGAGATTCAAACCACCTGTGTTTGCTATTTAAATCCCTTCAGACTTCAATTAGGATTGTCCTGATAAAGACAGGGCAGCATTCAAACAGATGCTGAACACGGTTGCTCCAGCGTGTCTCTAGATAAGGTTACAAAGAAGGTATTGTTGCTCTGTAGTCGCAGCTGAAATCTAAATCTCAGCAAGTGCAGCTCGGAGGATGAAACATGTGCTGGTGCTTGGGGGGGGCACAGTGTGGGATTTGTTTTCAAAGAATCAGGAAATGCAGAAGGAGAGGTTCCTGAAAACAGTGACTCTCGGTACAGCCTGCGAGGAGGCATCTGGCAAGGGATTTCATATTCAAACCCAGGGAAGGGAGATCTAATCAGGACTTGCTAATTTTTATGAAGACAAACACTTGGGATTCAGTCCAGACTTGCATTTTTCCTGGAATAATTCAACACAAACACTGTATATTTAGACATGGACACTTGACTTTTCTGTTGTTTGATGAGACCACAATTTGTCTTCCTCTTGTGGTCACTGCAATCTTCCCTCTCCTGCGGTTTGCACTCCTGCCCCCAGCACCACTCAGCTGTTACGCTTTGCATATTGCTGGCTCTTCAAAGGAAAGCAAACAATGCTTGTTTAAGCAAGCCCACTTTGCAAGCAGATTTTATTTGGACCAGGTCCTGCATAAAAACAGAATCCAATCTCATCTCCATTGTCATCTATCTCTATTATTTTCCCCCTCATGGTTGCTTTTCTGTTTCTTCTTCCTCTGCAGTTCTCCTTCCTCAACAACATTATTCAAAGCTGCGCAGAATTCAGACACGGCTTCTTTTATGCTCCTATCTGCTGTGATACTTTATCTCAGCTAGATCTCTGTTTAACATCTGGCTTTGCTTGGGCTGACAGACGCATTCTTTGAGCTGTAAATATTGCAAATCAGGGGTACAGAAATTTTCTTACCCTATGAATCTAATCAAGGTTCTTTTTGAATATCTCACTGAACATCTGAAGCCTCTCTTCCTTCCAACAGCCTCCGGAGCTGCTTTTGGCTAAGATAAAGCAGAAAGTGCTGGTTGGGTTCTCTCCCTTTCTGTGTTCCCTTCTCATGCAGGGGCTGGGGTGGGATGTCTGGTGGGACACGCAGCTTGTGCAGAGAGGTCTGCAGATGACCCTCAACACGCTGCAGCTTTGCCTGCTGGTGTCCAGCAACCAGAGACCACCTCAACCTGAGGACCTATCCAGCCTGCTCTTGTTGGGAGGCAGCAACATGGTGATGGTAGTGGCCTTGGTCAGGATCAAAGCACTGATGATAGATTCCAATACTACCTATGGCCTCTTTGCTGCCAGATCAAGCAGAAGACCTTTCCTTGGGGCCAGATTAGTGCCACAGCTGTGTTTCTCTGAGGACATGGGGGACTAACACAACCTGCAAAGCTGAGCATCAAGCTGGGAAAAGCATGATGATGTCTCTCCAGAGATGTGGGGTCTTTAGCCACTGACTGTGACAGGTTTCAGGAGGTGGGGAAGCCACCGTGATGTGTCACCCTGAAGTGCAGGTCTCGCTGTCCCGCAGAGCTCAGCACCCCCATGGCGGTGGCTCTACTGCAAAACCTTGTTTTGCCCATGAGCATCCCAGCAAAATAATTTTACTGGCCTCGTGGCTCTGTCCCTAGCCCTAACTGATGCCTGTGTCTCTGGCTGCCCGCACCATCCCTGGGACCACCCCACCATGGGGGTCCCCAAGAGCTCCCTGCCTGACCATGCATGGTCACCCTGCATCCACCAGGGATAAAAAGCCCCATGGTGTGTTGCAGTGGTGACACTTTTGGAAGAAACACTCAGGAAAAGCACAGCTGTGCATGGGCAGCTTGGTGACTGCACTGGGGTGACCTGCTGAGCCAGTTGCCACCACTGGTGCCTACATGGGACACTGAGTCAAGGAGCTGTGCCTGTTCACACACACACACGTGCAGGGACAGATGGGCACGTGGTGTGGGAAGTCCTTTTGATTCCTCAATCAGAGGCCCCTGCCTATGGTCCTTTCCATTACACAGCAGGTAAAAAAAGAAGCTCCTGAGATGTGTCTTAACCAGGGAGAGATCTGGAGGTGGGGGAGAGAGAAAGGCACAGACAGTTTGAAAGATGCTTGAAAGGGAGTAAAACTTGCTGCCGGGCTTCCTTCTGAGAGCAAGTCCTATCTCTTTCTATCTTTCTTTCTTTTGGTGCTGTGTTATTCCTCCATGGCCAGAAGGCTGCAGGCATTTCAATTCTTTTCTTCAAGTCCTTCTTTCAAAAAGGGCCCAAAATATGTTTTCTTCTAAGACGCAGCAAATGGGGAGCACACAATGCAGCCGTCTCTAAGCCTCTCTTCTCCTGTCTCAGGGAGAAAGGAATTCACCAAGCCCTAGAGCCTGACTCACTCGCTGTGTGAGCATGAATTAACCAGGAATGTTCGAGAATTATTCCTGAATAATTCATGAACCTGAATTAATCATGCATTTTCATGAATTATTCATGAATAACTCATGGAAATGCAAGGTTTATTCATGCTCCAAAAAACCCAAGGCTTTTTCTCTTCTCTTCTGCTCTCTCTCCCTGTAAGAAACAGACCTGAAATAAGCTAAGGGGAACAAAATATATATGTATATGGAAAAATAACAGGAATGATAATGCTGAAACAAAACAACTGGGGAAAAAGAAAGCAAAAGGTTTGGTTTTTTTGTTTTTTTTTTTTTTCCTTTGCAGTGGGGACGGCAGGTGGGAGCTCTCTGAGCCAGACAAAGGAGACCTGACAAGGAACTGTGGTGAAGGGACAAGCCCAAGGCAAAGAAGTGTCCGGGCACCTTCTGTGCTGGAGCAGGCGGCTGGGATCTGGATAGACAGGAGACATTTTGCAAGACTCAACACCTGGAGCAGTGCAAACCAGGCAAGGATGAGCTCTGTTGCTATCAGGATGGTGATATCTTTCTCTCTCTTTCTCTCTGCCTCTCTCTGTTTGTGCATTTGTGTAGTTTTGTTGCATTCATTAAGGCAAACGAGCAACTGGTAAGTGGGGCAGGAGGGAGCAGCAGCAGCTACGAAGATCGGTGGTTTTTCTTTAAATGTTAAAGAGAGGGGAAAAAAACCCTCTGGAGAGCTTTTTGGGGCTGTTTGCTGTTTGGAATAGGGAGCTCTGGAAAACAGGGCTGTGTTTCTGGGAGGGAGAGGTCTCAGCTCTGCGTTTATCCCAATTTCTTGCTCTGTAACCTTCCCCGGGCTCAGGAGAGGGGTGGGAGCAGCTGCGGGGATGGGGATGCAGAGAACCAGGCAGTAACAACATAGTTAATTTCTATATAGTGATTCCTTATTAGAAATAAACCCCAGAGTGTGTCTCAGCCAAAAGAAAAGGACGGGAGTGAGCTGGGTGTGGGTCTGGGGAAAGTTATGGCTCCTGCGAGGAGCTTTGCTGTAGCTGATGATGGTGGAGGGGAGGGAAGGAGAAGGAGAAAGTTCTCCAGGGTGAGCTGAACCTCCCAAGAGAGAGGAAACAGAATCAGGCTGGACTTTAATGGGGGTGTGGAGGCAAAACAAGAGACTGCAGCAAATTGGGTTGTAGCTGCTTTTCCTGACAGCTTGTCTCTGCTCCGCCTCTCCTCTCCCTGCCCCAGCTCCGTCCCATGGGCTTTGGGTGCCGTGGCCATTCTCCATGTGTTGCCCAGCACAAGGGCTCAGCCCCAGTCTCCGAAAACCTTCTGCCAAATCCTGCTGCGGAGCAGAGCAGGATGGTCCAGGGTGATGCTCTGCCAGGGCCCTTAGGAGCTCTGGAAGGCGTCTCTGCTTGGCTTTGTCCCCATCCAAGATATGTTGGTTGAAACCAGGAAAGAAACCCTCCCTGAGCCTGGCAGCCCCTGTGGCTCAGGAAATTTTGGAAGTCACCACTAGCCTGGCTGTGGTTTGATTGCTGAGTGCTCCCATTTCTCCTGTGACTTAAGCCTACAGCTCCAAGGGGACAAACAAGGTATCTCAGTGGGCAGAGCAGTGGGCCAGGGTCTGGGAAAACATCTCCTTGCAGCTTGGCTGTGTGCCTGCCTTAGATATATAATTCACTGGGCTGTGCCTCAGTTTCCCCACGTGTGAAACAGAGGTAATTTACTGCCTTCCTTACCAAAGCACTTTGACATTTACTGGAGAAAATAACTGTACAGGCAAAGGAATGATTATTTCCTGGAATACACTTGGGTCTTTTCAATTCTCTTCTCTTTACTGCCTTGATATCACACAGATACGATCCTGCACGGTAGAAAATCGCTCTAGACCCATCGCAGTCAGTTGAGCTGTGCTGGTTCACACGGGCAGAGGAACCAGAGGAACCTACTCAGTGGCTTTTCCAGGGTCTGCTCCACACATCCCATGTGAGAGCTGGTCCTGCCCTACCCCAGGGGATACATGTCACGGCTGGAGCTGCAGTTCCTCTTCAAATCTGGCTGGGGTACACCAAATGTACATGGAGCTGCTCCCAGGTCAATCCCAAGACAACGTCCCAGGGAAGGGGTTTAGGATGAGACAAGGACAGAAGGGCAGGAATGGGAAAGGAGAAATAACAGGTAGAAAAGACGCAGGGACAAGTATTTTATATCTGTAAGCTGCACTGCCTCAGGTAGAGCATCGTTTGCTAATCCTCCCAGCCATGGGAGACCACAAAGCCATGCTGTGATGCTCTCCTACTGCTCCCCCCCTGACCAGGTGGGCAGCCCCGATGTCAGCCAAGCTCTACGTCCTCATCAGCTGGCCCGACGGCAGCCGGGTGATCAACATCGAGAACATCAAGGAGCCCCGCAAGCCCTTCCACCTCTACGTGGTGGGTGAGCAGGTGCTGGCCCGCTGCCCCGGCTTCAGCGGGCTCTACTGGGGGATGCTGGAAGGCATAAGCGGTGAGTGGCACCCCTCTGTTTTGGGCTTTGTAACGTGGGTCTGCTCAGGAGCAACCTTTGGAGAATGAGTTTGGTGCTGAAAGGTCCTCTCTTCCTACAGAGCACAAAGATATTTTAGAGAAGAAGCTGCTGGAAGATAGACAGCTCCTGGAGAAGTTAAGTGAGTAGGGTCTTTTGAAGGTTGCACCTTTCTACCTCCATTGGGGTTTTGGGGTGGGAGGACTCTGAGGGCATTGTGGTCCTGGCATAAGTTTCACAGCCCTACACTCAGGATAAAAAGCACTGAGTGGTAGGTGGGAGATACACAACATTGATACCTCGTTCCACATCTTGAGTATCTGCCTCGCTTTCAGAAGAAGAACCAGCCGTTCACAGCATGATGCCACCTCAGCCAAAAAAATCCAGGAAAACCTTCCCAAAATGGACCCCAGGGAACGCATCCAGGAAATGCCACGGTGACAGGCCTTACCCTGCCAAGCCGCTGCTGAGGGTGGCCGAGGCCAGCCTGCCCCATGACACTGGCAGCTCCTCCATCATCAAGGAGAGACGTGCCCTGGGCAACGCGGCTGGAAGTCCCCGTTCGCTGGTGGGGCCCCCCCACCCAGCCAGCGCCTTCTCACCCCCCTCTACATTTGTCACCATGGCCATGCCGGGGACTTCCCAGGGTGAAGAGGACAGGGCTGGTCCAGCGACTAGAGGTAACTGTGGCTGTAAATTTGGACATTGGCTTTTAGCTTTCTCCTGCCTCATCCTGAGCAGCAGGTGGGATGGGGACCTTCAATGCTGCCAGGAGACCTCTGCTTCACTCCAGAAGCTGTGTGTGTTTTCTCCTGGGGGTTCAAAGGTTAGAAATGAATTTTTTTTGGCTCTTTCCACCTGGGAGGTCTCCTCCAGGAGGGCTGTCTAAAGGAACATGTCTGTGTGACAGCATACAATGCCTACTCTAGGGGGCTAATAGTTCCTTCCTCATGAGCCAAAACCCAATCCAGCCTGCCTGGATAACTGTGAAATGCCCCAAAGCCTTGTGTTTCCATTAGCCAGATCTTCTCAGATTTGCCTGTTTCTCTGCTTTTCTAGTCACTACTACATACATTAAATACGTTTATAAAAATACACTAGTGCATCATCTACCTACTGACTAACAGTCGTGTCCAGAGACACATTGGTTGCTTTTACCTTGCCCATTGTGTCTTTTGTGACAGGAACAGAAAGAGCCCTTGAGATACCACCTTTTTCTAATAACGAATTCCTTATTGCTCAATCCTGGAAAGCGTGTCTGGATCACTCTGTTTATGCAAAGGGAATAATGCGTTGCCATGCAATCTGGCAGAGGTGCTTAGATAATCTGCTCTGGAAAAAAAGGGATTCAGGACCTTTTCAACAGCTTGTCTCCCATCCCTGCCTGTAGATTATGTTGCCCTGGCAATGAAGAGGAAGTCAGATGGCCTCTTGTCTCAATGCCAGCAACACGGCTGTCTGAACAGGTAACACCTGAAAGCGTGGTGAGGATGCTGGATGTTGGGAGTTTGTGTGGGTACATACCACAGGGCAACTGAGACCCTTGTGCTCTGCAGTCCTGATCCCTTGGTAGGTCAAATGAGAGGACCCCCATATCTGTGTGCCAGGGCCTGGTCTGCATGGAAAGGGGGGTGCATGGGAGGTTGCCCACAAGAAGAACCATTGACAGTTCCTCCCAAACCATTTTATTTCTGCTGTAAATGAAAACAGAGTTGACTTTGCTTTGAGTTCCAACCTTTGAATTAAAGATGATTCTCATCAGGAATGAATATGAATACGAGTATGAAGTTTCTTTTGGCAGTGCTTTTCAGCTTGCTTCTTTCTTCCAGCTGCGAAGAGCGAAAACTTGACGCTTTGCAAGAAACAGATGATTTCGAGAGAGTTCAGAAAAATTTCGGTCCTGGTGAAACGGAAAGGTAATTAGCAAAAGGCGGCATTTGTTCTTAACTGTGTTTTCCTCCTCGCTACAAGAAAGAGCAGTGAGACCTCAGCTGGGGGAAAAAATGGTGCAATTTTAGAACCAAGAGCTGTTGAATCTCTGTATAATCAGAGCCAGGTGTTTCTTTCTGATTGTAGGGCTTGGAGTTAGAGATGCAAGGCTCTAAAACACTGCAGAAATTGTAAAGCTCTTGCCTCTAACAATCAAAATGACATCTATCGTGTCTGAACACGGTTGTGTGTTGCTTGCTTTATTGACCATTGCTTTGATGACAAGTATCCAGTGATGAAGTAGCTGCTAGGGACAGTTTTACTGCACAGAAATAGGTGCCAAAAATCATGTTAGAGTACTTGCATTGTCATTTCCTGCATGTCTGTTGTGTCATACCATAAATCCATGCCTCTTGGGACTCACAGGACAGGGCTTATATCTTTCCTTAAAACTGAAAAGAAAAATGAGCATCAAAGACCCCATGCATGCATGACGAAGAGGGGTCTGAGGGTTAAACTCCGAACATTTCTGAGGTACTGAAAGGTCCAGACCACGTCATTCCTCTCTTGTGCCTTGCTCCTCACCCAGACGTAGCTGGATGGGCTGACGCTCTGGCAGAGAAGTTGTCCTGCCCCTGTTTGCAGGAGATAAATAGTCACTGCTTGGGTGGAAGTGCTACGTCCTTTAGCAATAATGGTGAGACCACGGTGTCTTCTTGCCTCTACATGTTATAATCTGGGTTTAATTTTTCAGGGAAGAGAAAATAGAGCAGCTGGAGAGGATGGTGTTGGACCTCCAACAGGATGTCCTCTCTCTGAAGAAGAAGGTGCAGAGGCTGGAATCTCTGTCCTTCCAGGAGGAGCTCCACCGGCAGCCCTGCGAGGTGGTGGAGCTCTTCAATGGCTACACCAAGGAACAGCTCAAAGAGACCATTCGGTTTGACCAGAAGATCAGCACTGCCTGCAAGACACTGCTCTACAAGCTCTTCACATCTGACTACATCCAGAGCCACTCCATCACGGGGCGGAGGGGCAATACTTTCCGAGAGGCGAAGCCCATGATGGATGAACGTTGCATCAAAATCATTAGGGTGCTGTTGAAACAGAAGTTTGGAGATCACCTCAGTGACACAGTGATCACGGAGAAGATACAAAACGTGCAGAAAGCTCTGAGGCAGAAGTTTAAGACAGAATGTCTCTGATGCAGGGGGGACTTGGTGTCTCTTCCTACCACGCTCATCGATGTTCCTGAGCAACCCTTCCAGAAAAGACGAGTCCAACCTGCTGCTGTTCAGCTGATTTCCCCCCAAGGAGCCAACCCAAGTGAACCGTGCGCTAAACAACACAAACCTTTCACTGCTAAACCTCTGCCTGCATTAATTGAGTGGGAAGTTTGCCCAGCTTGGCAGGGTTTTTGCACATCTGCTAGCACTTTACAAGTTCCTTTCCATCCAGTCTCTGTGCAAGCCTCACTACAGGGTGCAAGTAGTGATCTCCAGGCCTTTTTGATGGACATGCTCAAAAGCTTGAAGGTTTCTGTAAGGTCCAACTATGGGTCAGTAAGTCAGCTTTGTCCCACCTTGTGGAGGGTTAGGGATAAAAATTGGCTCTGGGATAGGGGAGTGTAATCCCAAATAAAGCCAGGACTCTGGAGATGGACTTTGTGTCACCCAACATAGCTTCTCTTCGCATGCCTGTGGTTGCCCCCTGCAGCCTGTGGGACAGTATTTGTTCTCTTTGCTCCCAGTGAATGTCCTTTCAAAACCAGATTATTTCCATGGAGAATTCCTGTATATTTTTATGACATAAGAGTGGCGGGTGGAGGGCAAAATGTGGCCCGCTTGTAGCTACACCTTTCCTTCAAATATTAGACTTATTATGAGCACAGTCACTATCATTCAAATACAGTAATTATGTTGTAGTTAAGAAATTCCAGGTACAAGTAGGCATTTTTCTATGTGAGAAGCTATAGAGAAGGGCTAGATCAACATATCTTCCTAAAGAGTTCAGAGCTGGAGTTTGGGTGCATTAGAAGTGTTTTTAACATTAAAAGAGTAAGATGCTGACACCCGTCGACCTAACAGAAGTGCTGCAAAATACCAAACCTTCCCTGTTAGAGAGGCTTCTCAGAGAAGAAATTGGTTTTCTAAGTTAAATTTTTAAATTATTCAGGAAAGGAAATGTCAGTTGTTTTGCGATAATCAAAACATTTGTTTTAATTTATATGTTTTATTCTGTTTTCAAGTATTTAATTTCTTTACAGCTACATGAGAAATAATAATGCAAAATAAATGCATTGAAAAACAAGGAGCTGTTTTGAAAGCAAAAAAAAAAAAAGGAAATATGTTATTTTCAGAATTTTCCTCCCCCCCTCTGCCTTTTTTTCTAGTTGAAAAACAAAATAATTAAAGTAGAGTTAATACTATGAAGCATTTTGGTTTTGGTGGGAGATATGCTTGCCAATATTTTTGGCACTATTTTCATCAGCTGTGTTTAACAGTCATGCTAAATTGCTGTAGCCAATAACTAAAGATATTCCTTCTGTTTTCCAAGTGCAAATGCTTTTCCTAACTCTCTATTATGCAAACATGCCAGTGTTTCTCATTTCTCTGGACCTTGACTTGAGCAGCAGCTGGAGCGGGTTCGCTGTGGTCACTTAGAGCCAAAAGCGCAGCCAGTCCTTGAAAATGCACTCAAACTGAGCAGAACTGCCCCCAAACCCTCCTCAATGCAGAAACACCCCTTAAAACACAGCTGCCTTGCCAGAAACATGTTACTTTCCTGCTGCAGACAAGACCTGAGGTTGGTATCACTGCTTAGGGGAACACCCCAGGAGGTGCTTTTAATGATGGCTTATCAAAGAGAAGATTGAAGAGTCACAAATAACCTTATTCTGTCAACACTTGCTTTGGCATCAGCCCTTGGGGCTTTGGAGCATCTTCCCTGCAGATTCTGCTTCTCATTTCCCCTGCAACATCGCAGCCAGGAGGGATGGAGAGGATGGGTACCTCAGACCCACCCCTGCGAGGGACCACCATCACCTCCTGCGTGACCAGGGCTGAGTCCAAGCCATCTCCCTCGGCACTCATGCATCGCAGCCAGGAGGGATGGAGATGATGGGTACCTCAGACCCACGCCGGCGAGGGACCACCATCACCTCCTGCGTGACCAGGGCTGAGTCCAAGCCATCTCCCTCGGCACTCATTTTCTCTTTAATCTTCCCTCCCGGTGCTTCATCAGATTCCTCACCAAGCTGCAGCCTTGAAAGCCAGCTCACAACTGTTATTTATTAAAATATGTGCTGCTGCTGTCCTCCCCCACCGAGCCCTCTCCGACGAGCTGCAGATCATTACTGCAAAAAGAGGGAGAAAAAAGCCGGAGAGGTAGGACGTGCTGTGGGGAGCCATGGGTCCGGAAACATGTTTGTCTCTAATCAGCTCTTCTGGAAGCAGATGAGCCGGGTGACCTTTCTGCTTTGAAAAGCCCTTTGGTGGCTCCCTCGGAGCTAAACTTCACAGCCTATCGTGTTTGCTGATATTCAGGGAGCGCTCCCAGGAAGCAGGGCTGGTGGATGCTCCCCATCTCCGTGCGCAGCACAGCCACGGCACTAACGAGCTGATGCTCAAACGGGCCCTTCTCGGCAATAAAAGTTGTCCTTAGCTACTCTCAAAGGCTTTGATATGGCGGAGAGGGCTGAAGAAAGGCAACGCAGGCGGCTTTTTGTTAAACTTCGTTTTTTTTTTAAGGTATTTGTGAACCAGAGGCAGCGTTTCCAGGCTAATTGGGAGCACTCGCAGACACCGACGATCAAACGTCGCCGTGAGGATCCGATGTTCTCACCTCCCTGAACTCCAGCTCCGGCTAATCAGCCTCGAGAGGGAAGATCACACAGTGCTGAGATGTGGCATCCCTTCAGGGATGAAGGGGTCAGGGAAGATCGAGGAGGAGGAGGAGGGTTTCTGCCAGAACCACTTCACTTGGGGATGTTCAAAGCCTGTGTCTCTCTTAAAGTGACGAAGGGCAGCTCCGTCGAATTGCATTAACCCCCCACTTTAAAAGAATTACTGGGAGAAGCGGGACAGGTCTTTGCTGAGATGAATTGCTCAGCTGAATCTGCAGCATCTTCTTCAAAACGATGCTCCTGTTCAGCTTCTGGGCCCTCTGGGTGCAGGATGATGCGGGCAGTGAAAACTAGGGTCCAAACTCAGGGTGATCTTCAAGGTGATCTTCAAGGAAGTTTCATGTTTGGTTCAAAAGCAAGCAGAAATGGGACTAAGTTTCACGTTTGGTTCAAAAGCAAGCAGAAATGGGACTTGTCAACCTTTGCAAACATAGGACAGGCCTGAAACATCCCACCCTCCTTCCTTTCAGCAGGAACCAGAGCAGCAACACAGTCCTTGGTGGTTTGTATGATTGAAGCATGGACCCAGGAGGGGTCTGGGGCTCTCTGAAGGTCCTTGGTCCCCAGCCCCCCAAAACACTGCAATGGGTCACTGCATTGGTTACACCTCATTTCCTTAGGAACTGGCTGAAAGCTCTGCATGGCTGGCAGGTGGCAGGGCTGCCAGAAACATGCAGGTTTTCAGGGGAAAATGGGAACCTTCCCAGCCTGCTGTGTATCAGCCTTTACACCCCAGCTGGGCATGGAGAGGCTGGGCATGGGCATGAGGTTTCTGCAACTCCCAGTTGCAGAGGTGCTGCTGAAGGGATTGCTGACTTGATGTGGGGGGAAAAAAAAGCCCAGCCAAAACAAGAGGGAAATTCTCTGGTGTTTAACCCCGTTTATTTCATTTTTACCTCCTTGGCTCTGCCAGGAGGATTGCAGCGTCCAGCACAGGCAGATTTTAATTTACCCATTTCTTGGCTCATAAGAAACACACAGCGAAGTTTCTCGGTGACTGCACAGCACACGTCCCCCAGAAACTCTAACATTAGTTTAATGACAACGTGCAAACTGAGCGCCGGTTAAAGGAATAACGTTAAAATGTACCGAAATCCCTTCTTGGGTTTTAATCAAGGTTTACAAAGCCTGGCTGCCTTTACACGAGTCCCAGGCAGCCACTGCTGAGGCCGACGATGCTCTAAGCTTTCTTGATGCATTTGGAAAATTCTTCTGAGGCAGAATTAGTGGCTCGGTGGGTGGTGGAAGTGTCTCGTGCTCTTCATCTGTGTTGAGATCCTCCATCTCCCAGCTGGAGGAATGGGGACGCAACCTGTAGGTTGTGTCAGCTGGGGTGGTAATGAAATATTAAAAGGACAAGCCTTGTTCTGTATGAACTTGAAGCTGTGTGCCATCTCCTACTGGCATTCAGCAGGCAAATACTCACAAGGATTTATTTTTTGTTTGTTTTGGTAAGTCTTTATCTTATTTAGCTTCAAAAAACCAGTGTAACAGAGAAAAAGCACATAGGTATGTGGCCCCAGAGCTATGTGTGTGTGCTGTATTTGTACTTCTGGAATATTTTTGACAAAAGTAATTTCTTTTTTTTATCATTTTACATTTTTCTTGAAAGCATACCTGCATATTTTTTTGTGAGTGCATACACATACCTGGTAGGTGTGCAAATATATCAGGTTTTATACCTTTAAGCAATCTTTCATGTCTCTGCTTCAGTCACATATTAATAACACATTGTTTTTACCTGTATTTCTCTGTCTGCAGTACATGATTACATTATTCCAACTCATATCTCTCTATATCTCCCCCACCTATTCAGAGTCAAATTGAACCGGGGAGATCATTATTAAAGCACAGAAAGCATAGAAATAAAATTAACCATAGCACCGGTTCTCTGTGTGCTGAATACACTGAGGAAATAAAGGGGCCTTCCACTTCTAATAAAATCTGGATATGAATTGCCTCATAAGAGTTTAAATGAATTATGTTTCAGAGGCCGAAAAGAGAGAGTTGGGAGCCCTCTGACTGCAGGAAGGCTGCTCTCATTGCCGTGATGTGCAGCACATCCAAACATGCCATGAAAGCTTCAGAACCAGCTGTCATGTTCTGCTCGGAAAGTGAGCTTCAGGACTTGGGTCGCAGGTCCACAGGGAGTTAAAGTCCCTCTCAGTGAAATATTAATTGCATTGAGGTTGCCGGAGTTCTTCCCACTACTTCTTGAGAGCTCAACCTTCGCTTTAGTTCTTGCCCAAGTCCCTTGATGGTGGAGGAAGGACCCTGCAGAGGGACCAGTGCCTTCTCATCCCTGTGCTTGCCCCACTCTGACCCTCCTAGGATCCCAGAAAGGATTTGGGGTATGGACTAGGTTTCTCAGCTGCTTTGTCTTGGCACTGGAAGATGCAGGCTGGTGAGGAACACACCCCAGTTCATCTTCTTCGTGAAGCCCCAGCACCTTTTTGTCAACAGCATGTCCCAGGACATCTGTCCCCTCATGAGATGCAGTTTGAAGACATGCTTTCTTTTAATCCTATATTTTATTAGATGGGTTTTTTCATTTGGCACTGGGAGTTAGCTGGACTGAAGGGGACCGTGTGCCTAACTCAATAACAGAGAAATTAGCATCCCACAAAGCCTATGACTGCACGGTGCTTATTGATTGTCTCTCTTAAATATAAGCAGTGTAGCCCAGAGTGTCAGGTATCTGAGGGAAAAGGAGACTGCAGAACCGATGTACTCCTGGTAATGAATAATCGTTAAACTCCAAAGGAGTTTATTATTATTACCATTAATTCTAGTTGTATCGTACCCAGAGACATGGAAGGTGGAGATAGATGAGTTCGTGACCTACATATTACAGGCTAGATTTTATCCTGGTAATATGAGAAAATCGATCATTTCTTAAGTGAGAAGACTGATAAAATCACAGACTTCAGAGGAGCAACATCATTGCTATTATACGTTCAACAAGCTCAGTGGAACGGGGCTGGAGAAGGGTCAAATCCCTCTGCTGTATATCTTAAATTCAGTTTGCCCTCTCTTTCCAGGAGGCAGGAGGGAAGGATTTCCCCTTTGTGCTAACCTCTCCTGTGCAGATTGGATATCCCTCCATCCCATCTGTTGTCCTCCTGAGGTTCTTCATCCCTTGAAGTCAGAAGAAGTTGCCAAAAGTGAAGGAAAGCCATCAAAAGACCCCTCCAGCCACAGCACAGGTGGGGCAACAGTCAGAGGTTTAATGTCGTTCCTTTAAAGTGGTTTGGACCAAGAGTAAAGTACTGTCATGATGTGGGAACCCCACTCTTCTTCACACTCTCAAAATAACTCAAATGTGTTCCTTTGTAACTCACCGTGTTATGGAAATGCCCTGAACAAGAGGGCTCATTCCTCTCCTGGAACACAAAAAGCAAAATAAGCTATAAAATACCCACAAGAAATGTCTGATGTAATTTGCCAAGACCAAAAGGGAGGTGTAAACGGTGCTCTGTTTTTTTGTGTGCCTTTGTGCAGTGTATTTCTTAATTCTCTCTCGAGCTGAATCATGAGGAACTTGGGTTTGCTTTCTACAGATGTACTGCCTTTCTGGTTGGAGACATTTCTTTATTTCTTGGCTGAGAGTGGAAGAAACAGATATCAATGTAGTCATGACCCTTCCAATGTGACTGTTAGGGTGAAAAATGGAATCAGTCAGTTTAACGGGTTGTTTTGGTAGAGGAATTTTACAGCTTATGGTAGTCTTGCTGCTAATTCAAGTACTTCCTATTTATACAATACACACCGCTGGTTTAGTGTATGCTCTGAAGAGGGGGCTGGGAACAGGTATTTTCAGGAGAGGAAGTCATTCCTGAGAGACCCAGGGTCAGACCTGCTTTTTGGTGAATGATTTGAGAGCTGAGTGTGTTCTGTATTTTTTCTGCAATTCCTGGGGGCTGTGACTCCCTCTCTTGTGCTCGTACAACTTTGAGTGCTGCATTTACAAGGTCACTTGAGAACCAGCAATAGAAACCAGGGTAAGGTGGGCATTTCCAAAGCACTGAAACAGGGTCACCTGCAAAGCCCAATTATCTTGTCTACATTGTTTTCTAAATTGTGTTCTAAAGTGTTTTCAAACACTTTAGAAAACGCTGTGGTTTTGAGAGCTAAGTCTGCAATGCTAATACAAGAAAATGGTCCTTTCCAGATTCTGATGTTCAGATTCACCCACTTTTATTGGGAACTTGAAGCGGGCTCAGATCCAGCCCCACGTTAATTAAGTGAATGTAGAGAGTAAGGAGGGATGGAGAAGAAAAAATCAATAGGGAAAAAACTTGTTTGCAGACAGCTCCAGGGGTGAAGGTTTATTTCCACGGTCTCTGTAGATGAAGGCTGATGTTCAGAGGTGCTCAGGAGTGACGTGGAGCTGCCTCTGACCTGGGCAGCTACCAATGAACTGTCTTTTGCAGCTCCTGGATGGTCCAGCTTTCCCGTGGTCTGGTGCAAAGTCAATGTCAGCAACGTCAAATATCTTCTGCTGGCAGAGTTTAACTGGATGTGATCCCTGGACCAAGAGAGCAATTCAAAGTCATATCTACACACTGTTCTGTAGGAAAAATAACCCACTAACCCTGCCTGCCCCTGCAAAACTGAGTCATAAATCTGGAGTAATCTTTGATGACAAATGGCCTGGAAAGTGGGAAAAGAGGAAGCTCACATTCTCTTGTGAGAAGAAAGATAAGTTAATTCTCAATTAGGAAAGACAGCAAATGGAGGCGCTTCCAGCTGCATGGACATTATCCTGACATTGCCTGTTAAAGTTAAATGCCTAATAATGACAGTTACCACGAATTAGCTACAGAATATGTTTTATTGTGTTTCATGGTCCCTAGGGCTGACATGCCAGAAAGTTTTGAAGAGAATAAAAGCATAGAAGGGGAGGCCTCCATACAGGCTTGTTCTGAATTTGTAATGTTTGGTTATTAAGCATCACACAGCCAAAAAATTACACATTATATCCGTACGGTAAAAATTCATCTTCAGCATGCTCTGTCTTAATGAATAACTACATGGACAAGTGGATGGGTCCCCAAATGACAGATGGAAACATACCTGAGGACAAGCATTGTTTTTCATTTTCTAGGCTGAAAAGTGGGATGATGTTTTTGGTAAGCTGCTGAACTGTGAACTCTTCCCACCCATTTCACCAGGTGCCAGTGCGAAGTCTGATTTCCATTGCTGAAGTCAGTGTGAGTTTTGCTCATACCTTCAACCATCAGAAGTCCAGATCCAAGGAAAAGAAAAAAGGTACCAGAACCCAGCAGGATTCAATTTTCAGTCCCCGGATTTCAATTTGACAACAACAATCCATAGGAAAAATGCAAATATGATCTTTCCTGCAGACAGAAATGAGAGAGGGCGTTGAGAGCTCTCGTGTTGTTTGATCACTTTAAAGCCTTTCCTGCAGAAAGTGAATTGGTGAAATTCTGCTTGAAATGTGCTGGCTGCATTTACAGGCAAAAGGAGATGAGATGAGATGAGTAAACCTTCCTCAGCTTGGAATAGCCTCCCCCAGACCTTCACGGTTATCCACTTAAATACAAGGACGAGATTTCTTTTCTGGCTCATCTGTGAATTCACCCTGTGTACTTGTTTAGTGATCCACTTCACCGTGGAAAAAAGAATCAAAGAGGTTTCAGCTCTTTCCCCCACCCCAGCCTTTTCTGTCTTGTAATGTTAATGAGTGATAATGCTTCATGATTTTTTTCACAGGCTATTGCTGCTGAAAATTGCTTTGGTGCATTGGGACTCTTATTAACTGAGTATATCAAGAGCTTTCTGCAAAGCAGAGGAATAAAGACCAAGGAAGTGTTGTGGCTAGAAATCCTGTAATGGTCTGACCTTTATCTTGTCTCAGAATCAGCTTTTAAAGAGCGGGTCCTGTTGCCCCTTGCCAAGCACGTTAGGGATGAGCAGCACAGCTCCCTCCCTCTCGTGCCCAGCACACCGTAACTCACATGGCCAAATTTCCATTTCCACCCAAATTGAGGAGTCACTGGGAACTGACAGCTTTTGCTTTTCATGATTAACAAAGCTTAGACTCATAAAATAAAAGCCTGATGAATGTATTCCCTGGGGTGCAATCAGTTGTGCAGAGAGGCTGGGGCAGCTCTATGGCTCCATCCCCACAACCTCCTCACTGCCTCTGTGAGCGTGTCGGGCTCTGGGTTGGGAAGGGATCTCTGGGATTTGGGTAACCCATATTTCTCGTGAAATGGTGCTAGCTGAGGCATTAACGCAGCCAGGAGAAATGGGAATGGGACTCTCTGATGTACCAAACGGTTTGTCTGGGATGAGTCTGCAACAGAGCACACCCCAGCCTCTCCTCAAGGCTCCAGTAAAGAAGATGGTTTGTACGTGGCAGCGTTGTCCCCAACATGTGCATCACCATGGTAGGGATCCGACAGCCAGAGCCTGTACAGGGGGATGAGGGAAGAGAATTTCTGCAATCCTCCATCTTTCAACACAAAACCATCAATTCCTCCACGCACCCCCTCCTGCCCTCCACAGCGTCAGCACGTGAGTACATACATACAGACACTGGGATTTCTTTCCCAAACCTTTGGCTTCTTTCACTTACCTCAAGTCCCCAGCTTTTGCAGTCCCATGGGGTACTTGGGACAGGAGTGACTCCACAAGTGACACTCCATGGCCAGATTCAAACCCATTGGGGCAGCCACTGTCCCATAAGGACTATCGAAGTGGCGAGAAACAGAGGTGGCGTCACCGAGTGCTGACTTTTTTGCCTTCCCATTTTGGCACAGAGAAAACGCTTTTGGCCTCTTCTGTCCTTCAGCATTCCCCGAGGGGGCTGGACGCAGGTGTTTCACAGCACTGCAAACAAAATGAGAACTGTCTAATTCAAGGGTGAGGTGTAGTATCTTCACTGTCGAGCTGCAAAAACAAAATGAGAGCTGTCTAATACAAGGGTGAGGTGTAGTATCTTCACTGTCGATGTCCATTAGGAAGGACACTCCAAAGCAGCTTTATCCCAAGCTTGCAAGGGCACTGGCAAGGGATTTCTAGCCTGACAGTGTATTGTTTCTGAAAAGACAGCATCTCTGGATATTAAATAGCCTTTTAGGGGGCAGGAGCAGCTGCAAGATGTTTTTGTAGACCAAAGGTTCACCTCTGGCAGCACTAAATCTGAAAAGTCAACAAGCAGATTAAACAGTATGGTTTAGCTCTTAGGGCAGAGATAGCCAGCCTGAGGTTTGCCACTGAAATTGGTTATGGGAGCCATAATTGAAAGGAAATAGGGTATTTCTAAATCTCACCAGGCTTGGAAGCTGAGCAGGACCACGGACTGGGTGATGGTGTACATGTGTTGGTGAGTGCATGTCCATCCCACGATGAACCACTTAACCTTTCCCGTAAGCATCCAGAGATCATCATGCTCAATATTACCACAGTGATTAGCACTTGCTTACATCAAAATATAACCCAAGCTTATTAATTATTTATTGCACTGTCTTTCCTTTACTTTGTCCATTTGTCTGTGTGGAGAAGGGTGAGAGTGCATCTGGTTTGGGTTTTTGGTTACTGTTTTTTTATTATCTCATGCAACATCCTACAGGTGACCAAGATTTACATCCCATACTTGGAGAAACTGTGCTCTGAGGTGTCTGTCCTCCATCACCTTCTGCCAGATTTGGAGTCTGGCCTCGGTCAGCACCATCTAAGGTTCAGTTCAGCCTCTGAATATTGAAATACTCTCACCAAGATTTGGGGGTTTCTGTGGAACGTCCCAGCCCTGCTGTGCAGGATGTGTTTAACAAAGCAGATTCCAGCACTTCTTGCCCAGGGTGGTTTTGGGTGGCACCTGTGTTGAAGGGGATGGATTTCTAGATGAGAAAGCAGAGCTATGAACCGAAGAGACAGAGCTGCAATCAGACCCTCAGTGGCTAATTGAGCTGCTGGCTGCCAGCTGGACAGGAGATCAATGGAGACACACACCACAATAACTCTATAAAGAATGGAGACACGTGTTGCATGTGCAAATATGATTGGAAACGCCACTGTTCTTCAGGAAAAGGGCAGGGCAACAGCAAGTGCTCTCCCTTTTCATCTACCCAGAATAGAATAGATTTCGCTCAAGCTGCCAACCTTTATTTCTCAGAAACAATTTTACTTCTTCTTCCTTCCCTGGACATAAATGCATCTGTTTTCTTTTGTTATTCAGAAAAAAATGAGGAAACAAACCCTCACTTATTCCCACTGTTCAACTTTGATAAAACTATAGCTTAGAAAACTCTACATATTAATAGCGTGAATCACTTAAGTGAGGTACATTATGTTTTCAATTTCCATGATGCTTTTAGTGTAGGCAACTTATCAGGGGCTGCCGTTTAATCTGTTGTAGCAATCTTGAGCATTAAAGCCAGGTTATTTCACCAAGGGATGTATTCCTTTCACTGGGGAGGTTAATATCACCCATGATTATATTTGACATTTGGGCCTGGCGTATTATTTTTCATGCCGTGTCTGAACGTAACTACCCACTCTTTGCATGAACAGTGTTTGAAGTGGGTACATTTCAAATATCTGCACACATCCATAAGTGTCATCCTAACAGCCTCATCGCTGGAAATAAGAAAAGACAATTTAATGAACAAAATGGGGAGGGTGAATTCAGGAAATGAAATTTTCTGTAGTGGGTAAGCAAGCAAAGGATAAATATCACTGTTGTGCTTGCCTGCTGAAGAAACTACAAAAGGGGAGCGGGTGCTGTGCTCCTTGGAGGAGCATCTCCAAAGCATCATCACTCGAAAGCATCTGAACAAACCCTCCTGAAATACAGCTGATATGCAGCCGGGCCTCCCAGCTTCTTGCAGAGGTTCCTTTCATAATAGGACCCACAACATGGCTTAGAGATCTGCTCTCACCAAGACACAAGGAAGTATTTGAAGAAACAGGTCCAGAAGCTGATGCCTCAGGTTGAGCAACATTTCACCTCCTTCAAAGCCAATGGACTCCAGCTGTCAGCTTGAGTATGAGCCTAAAAGGACTTTTCAGAGCTGAAGATGAGAAAATTCACCTTGAATGTCAGTGCTTACCTGATGAAGATGGTAATTCTCAGTTAGCCTTTCATTTAGCAGTCAAAGGAGCTTGTGTCATGGACGTCAATGACTCCTCCGTGTCTCCACATGAACAGCTCTGTCAACTTCAGCTGCTAATTCTGTTTGAACCCCATGTGCTCTCTTTTGGTTTTGGTAAGAACAGGCTATTGAAGGTGAAGCTTTAAATGCTGTTCTTGCACATGAATAACTCAGGGAACTTCCTGCCACAAGATCTTAGCAAGACCTAGAGCTGAGCAAGATCTAGATGAAACCAGGGCCTTTTTACTTAAAATGTTAGCTCTCCGGTTCCATTGCTGTCATTAGCTAACTGTCTGCAATGGGTGGAAGCCAGCAGGGCCTTGATGTAGCCTTTGGATGTTTTTTTGTGGTTTTTTTGTTGTTTTTTTTTTAAATCACTGCTGTCCTATTTCTGGCTTTGTTTGTTCAGCCTTAGTGCCTTAGTTGTGTCTTAATGAACTATGAAAACAGAGCAGTGGACGGAAAAGGAAGAATAGGACATGAGGAGACAGCAGTTCAGGAGAGGAAAAGAGTAAGTGGAATTAAATTACCACCAATTTCTGAGGCACGACAATGCATTAGTGGATTTCATGCAGGATTCAAACAACTGATCTTGAAAAAATTCTTTTCCCAAAATTCCATGTCATCAAACGTCATTTCCACAGTCCTCTCCTTTGATTTATTTTCAAAGCTAGCTGATAATGCTCCCATAATCTCTCCTGCCTTTGTCTTTTATCTGTTCCTAACACTGTAACTAGAGTGGAGGAAAGACCCCAAATAGCAACGGCAGCAACTCTACCCTTCATTTAAGGCAGTGCAGGTAATTTGAGACAAAAGGGACTGTGCAAAACCACAATATCAGACCTGAGCAGCCAACAAAAAAAGAATATTCAGTTTCCTGGCTCTCTGAACATTACCTGGGTAAAGACATCTATACAAGGGATCAGAGCCAACTGCTCTTTGCTATCTAGCATAGCCCAGTGCTCCTCAGGGAGATCGTTGGATAACAGAGGGTCTCCTGCAAGTGGAAGCTCTACTTGACAAATCTGAGTAGAGCTAATCAAAATGTAGAGCTTCATCAAAAAGAAGCCACTTGGATTAATTGCAAAACTCCCTATACTCAAGGGGGCTAGGATTTCAGCCTGAAGTTCCCTTATTGCTCTTAGATATTTATTACTACAGTTGAAGAGTCATAGAAAATAGGGCTGGGAGACGACATCAGGCTGTCTCAGAAATTCACTCCTCTGACTACCTATACGTGGTTTATCATTTCCCATCCTGTTTTCATAAATCTCATAAACTTGGAGACTTCACTGTTCCCCATGCAATTGGCTCCGTTGCTTCAGTGTCTTTACTACTGGGGAGGTGTCTTCAATAGCTACTACCTAACTCCTACCTGGCATGGGTTAGGGAAGACCCAGAGGTGAGTTCAAGATACAGATAACCTCGCCTGTCATTTCAGAAGTGGTCAAGTGGAATAATTTATGTTTTATAAGACAAACCTTTGGGCTACTTAATGGGTTTCTATGCATGAGGCCAAAATTTTTAAATACACCTATTTTCACCTGTGACACAGCGTTGCTTAAACACAGCTGCTCATGGAGGAGACCAGTTCCAGTCAGGTGAACCCCCCTGGTAAAATGCACCTCTGGACCTCCTTTCCCTTCCTCATCATCCCCAAACACACGCATCTGCATTCAGATCGGGTTCCAATGGGGACTGCTGTACTCATAT